AAAAGATGACTATTCCTCATCCCTGCCTCTCTCTCTCACCCTTTATTTCTCATTTATTATCATGCATGCATCATCTCACGTCAGCCTCGGCTCTGCTGCACCTCCCGCTCCCCTCCCCACGCAGCCCTTCTGCTTACCTTACTCTCTTTTTCACCCCATGTTGTTTCATCAGACGTCCATGTTTCCCATATTAATGGCAAATAAAATGACACTCAGCTATTGTCAGCTCTGAACCGTCTGCAGAGGCCAGAAAAAACGTATAACGTATTTTAATCCAAGTCAATTAAAGTGACTACCTTAGTCGACATTGATGTGAAGGAATTTGGAGGGTTTGAGATGACTTGAAAATTTTAAACCAACGCCTGTAAAACTTTTCAAGACTGTGTTTAAAGAGGAACCCACGATCCTATGAAAAACTGAACTTGAACTCTTCTCTTGCTGCTTGAAGATGTTTCACCTCTCATCCAAAAACCTTCTTCGGGTCTAATGATGGGTTTGAAGTTCAAGGCTTACAAGTCGCAGTACACCAGATCACTTCATGGCCTTAAAATGGCCTGTTAGCTTTATTTTATGAGGTCTTAATATAATCTTAATGCGGTGTACTCCTATCAAAATGGAATCGGAGTACCAAGAACCTCCAATAGAGCGGATATGAGAATCCAGTGTGGGCCAGTGCCACCCTGACAACTAGGGTGGAGCCCCCTCCCAAGCAATAATTAGTGCTGGATGTTGGTGATAGTTTAGCTTAATCCCAAATGTAGAATCAAATACATAATATTAGTCAACAACCTCCCCTGCAATAGAGTAGAGGTGCTAATCCTGGTCATGGAGAACCACTATCCAGCATGTTTTACTGTCTTTTCTGCTCCAACACACTTGATTTAATGGTTGCATCACCTGTTCAGCAGGTAATCAAGCTCTGCAGAAGCCCGTTAATCAGCCACTGATTAAATTTAGGTGTGTTGGAGGATTGAAACAACTAAAACATGCTGGATAGTGCACCCCTGGTTTTAAGCTGTTAGGTTTTCATCTGATTTTAGAAGGCATACATAAATGTGTTTTCAGTCCTAACTGGGAGCCTGTGTTCGAACAGAGATCTGTAATTTTCTGCGGCATTGAAAAGAAAACTTTCATGTGATTCCTGTTTAATCTGAGATATTTACAGCTAAATGTCTTCAGACGTTGAAGTCTGAACTATTTAGACATCCAGTTGTTTTCTGGGGTACAGTGGAATGGAAGTTTTGTTTTTCCTCCTGACTGCAGGTATGCTTTTCCCATTTTGAACAGGAGTTACACAAGACAAACTAAAAAGGAAATATTTCCATCCGAGGACAGTAGATCAGGCCCCACACACACAAATTACTCCAACCCTTAAGAACAGCCTGCAGCACCAAGCCAGATGCACACTTCCCTTATCAGCAGTTGGACCATGGAAAGTTAATGATCCATCTTTTAGACTCAGTCTCATTGTGAGTCGTGTGTTTAACTGGCTCAGGTTATTAAAACACGCCGTTCCAGACACAAGCGCTGAGTAATGTAACATTCGGGATGGCGTTCATACCCAATTTACACTCACGTCGTTAATTTTTCCATCACTTATCTGCTTCATTCACTCGGGACTTTATGCTGGCACCATTTTGGTTTTGGGTTTGTTTGTTTTTTAGACTAGAAAATATGAAAGTATTTCTAAAATGTTCTTTTTAGTGTCGTACAATCCAGTGCACATCTCTGTGAGAACTCACCAGAAGAAGACACGTTTCTCTTTGCAGTCTGTGTCATTAAAGCAAATTTTCTAACAAAGCAAACCAGATAAAGACCACAAAGCGTCCAAAGATACCTGAGGTGTCTCAGTTAACTGCACATAAACGGATACACTGAAAACCTTTGCAGTAAAAAGGCACAACATAAGAAGGTCCAGACAGTTTTCTGCTTAAACCGGAGTTTTCCATTTTTATCATTTTAATTTTAATCAGTTTTGCATTCAGTTTTATCTAAAACACATTTAAAAGAATAACTAATTACAGCAAACTTGCAGTTAGACAGTTTCATTGCAGATTGTTTGTAATCAACAGAAAAATAACTAACCCTAACCTTTTTTTAACACATTTTATGCAACAGAAATCGAGAGAGCATCTTCCTATTACTACTAATACCAGTAAAACAGCATTGTCTTCTTCCTGTTTCTATTTATTGGTCAACCGTCAGTCCTGAACTGTGATTTCTTACAGATATTTACTTGTCTGATTTAAATTAGCTGGGGTAAACTTTAGCTATCTCAACCAGCAAGAAGTAATTTGCTTCACATCAGTGCTGAGAAAATGTGTGGGCTAACCAGATAACACAGCAACACTAATGTGTTGCAATAGCTTGGAAGTGAGAGTGCTTCTTTCTGGTCCCTTGTGAACCTCAGCAGTTCGATACAATCATTATTTTCCTTTTGCTGTGTGTGTTTTACATTTGCATTGCAGAAAGGTTTTATTGAAATCATTTAACAAACTTTTTTTCCGCCTTCCAATAGGTGGTAAGGAGTGAAAATGTGATTTTGTTCAACATATTTCACAAAAAATGTAACACCTTTGATACTCTGGGGTGATGCATCTCTCAGGTCTTCAAGTCAAGTCAACTTTATTTATATAGCACTTTACAACAGCATAAAAGCTGACCAAAGTGCTTAAAAGGCCAAAAAGAACAGAAATTCCCTAAAAATTCTAAAAATAAGATAAAAAGTTCATCACAAAGTAAAAACATGATAAAAATAAACATATCAAACTGACGTAAAAGCTACTAAAAACAGATGCATTCTCAAACTGAATTAAAAGCAACTGAGAACAGATGAGTCTTTAAAAGTGATTTAAAACCCGACAGTGAGGAAACCATCCTTATCTGGACTGGGAGTGCATTCCACAACCTTGGAGTTGCTACTGAGAAAGCTCTATCACCCCTAAGCTTTCTCTTCCTTCTCTGCACCTCCAGGAGAAACTGGTCGGCTGACCTCAGTGACCAAGACGGGGAGTGAGCAACTAAAAGTTCACACAGACACTGCGGAGCAAGGCCATGTACAGCTTTAAAAGCCAATAAAAGAACCTTGTACTGGACCCTAAAATCGACAGGCAGCCAGTGCAGCGAAGCTAAAATTGGGGTAATGTGCTCCCTCTTTCTCGAACCCGTCAGTAGGCGTGCTGCTGCATTTTGCACCATTTGAAGACGGGAGAGGTGAGACTGAGGAAGACCAAGGTACAGTGCTTTGCAATAGTCAAGGCGTGATGTAATAAACGCGTGAATCACCGTCTCAAAGTCATGCCTTGAGAGCAGACGCTTAACCTTGGCGATCCTCCTTAACTGATAAAAACTGGCTTTGGTGACGGCACTGATTTGCCTTTCCAGAAGCAGATCGCTGTCAAGCCGGACTCCCAGACTGATTGCTACAGGTTTCAAAAATAGGGCTAGTGGACCAAGGTCAGCAGAACATGGCCCACTGGACACACTAGGACTAAAAAGCATGACCTCAGTCTTGTCATTATTAAAATGTAAAAAATTTGCAGACATCCAGGTTTTAACTTCATCGAGGCAGTTTAGAAGAGGATCTAAAGAATTGGGTAGGCCACGTTTAATGGGAATATAAACCTGGGTGTCATCTGCATATAGATGAAAAGAACATCCATGTGTCGTAAAAATGGAATGCAGAGATAGCAAATAAAGAGAGAACAACAACGGGCCCAGCACCGATCCTTGAGGAACCCCACATACGAGAGGCGAGCGAGATGATGTGAAACCACCTAATGATACACAAAACAACCTCTCAGCCAAATAGGACTTAAACCAGTCCAAAGCAACTCCTTTAATCCCAACAGACTCTTGTAACCGTGAAATCAGGAGACTGTGATCCACGGTGCCAAAGGCAGCAGACAAATCCAGCTGTACCAGAACCACAAAATCACCAGAGTCAGTAGATAAAAGAATATCATTTAAGACCCTGAGCAGTGCAGTCTCTGTGCTATGTGCCTTCTTAAAACATGACTGGAATTTTTCACAAATATCATTTGCATGCAAAAACTCCGTCAATTGCAAATACACCACTTTTTCCAGAACCTTTGAAAGGAATGGATGTTTTGAAATAGGCCTATAATTAGACACAGTAGAGGGGTCAAGAATGGGCTTCTTAAGTAGCGCTGAACAACAGAATGTTTCCAAGATTCTGGAACCACACCAGATGAAAGGCTACTATTAACCATGGAAAGAACCCAAGGACCCACGGAGGAAAAAACCTCCTTAAAGAGGCGGGGAGGAATCACATCAGTAGGAGAACCTGAGGGTTTTAAGGGTTCCACGATCTCCCACAGGCAATCCAGAGTCAGTAGTTCAAATTGACAAAAAGTTGAAGGGCAGCATCCTGCAGCAACCTGGAGAGGACATGCGGGTATCTGAGCTCTGATGCTCACTATTTTATCGATAAAAATGTCAAAAATTATTCACACAACCCCGGAGAGATCTTAATTTCTGCAGGTTGGTCGACATTGAGGACGTTATCTTAAACATTAAAAAGAACACACTGCAGGCAGACTGAACGATATCTGAGAAATATTTCCTCCTTTCCTCCATCACCACAGCCTGATAGCAATGAAGAGCATTTCTTAACATCTGGAAAGAAATCATTAGCCTGTCCTTTTTCCAAGTAACAGTGAGTTTCCTGCTTCTCAAAAAATGTCATGAACAACCACGCAGTCGCTCACACTAGCAACAAAATAAGGCTAACGCTAAATAAGCCACAAAGTGAAAAGATCCACACGGTTGGACAAGAAAACATCAATACTTACAAGTCCTTCCTTCTTTCAGCTCCCTCAAATGAACGCATGCCGTTCCGATGTTCACTCTTTACTCTTAGCTTCACGTCCAAAAACATAGATAACTTCCAGGCTCCGCCATGATGCCAATAAAAAAAACTTTAAATTCTTTGTTTTGTGCTTTTTATTGATGGTTGACAAACTGATAAACGGGCCATTAATCAAGAAAAAATTAAAAAGTAAAATGAAGTCTTAAGATTGTAAATACAAAGACATTACACATGGTTTAAAGGCACACTTGGTAGTTTTGCTTGCTTTTAGCACCCCCTAGTGTCCATTATTAATTATCTGTGGTCAAAGCAAAAGTGAAACTTATCTCCTTCACGTGCGTTTGTCTTTTTGACACTTTAACAGCTGAAATGTCTCCCCACCCTCCATTTGTGTCTACAGGAGCGATTCATCACTAAGTTAAACATATCAGCTTTGTTCACAATCAATAACGTGCAGGAAATGTGCCGAAAGCAGACTGCAGCAGCAGGTATATAAGCTCTAAATTTTCTAAGTGTAAGAGGTGGCGGCCTGGCACTCAGAAGTTGCAAATACGGCATTCTGGCTACAGAGGGCAGTAGTGGTCTGTGACTTTTCATTAACCCTAAAGGGTCTTTTTAGCACATACTGGCTCAAGAAAATGATTTAAAAGTATGAAAAAGTTGCAAAGTATCCCTTTTAAACCTTTACACTATTTTTTCTAGCTACACGTTCTAATTAAAGAAAAGTGGCGTGCAATGGGAATTTTTTCTACCAGTATTAATTATTACTAGCTAGTAAAAGCTGCTACTTACTCATCACTAGCATTAGTCTAAGTAGCTTAAAGCAACTCCTCCTACAAGGAGCTAGTAGCTATTACTGTTTTAAAATGTTGCATTTGTAGGACTAAATATTTAAGATAAGTTAAACATGCAAAATTAGAGATACAGCTATCCATGCACATCAGATACATTAAACACATGTTTATTAGAGAAATTCCACATAATGATGCTTGAAAAAGCTTGTGCTGAGGTCCAGAGGGATCAGCTGTTCTCCCATAACTGTAATTAATAGATTTGCACAATTGCTTGCATCACAGAGCTCTGTGCTATTAACCTCTCTTCTCCAGGATTGCTTCACCAAGGGCAAAGAGGGTGACCCTCAACAAAGACAATGTAATGATGCAACATTTTCATCCATTGGGGTTTTAATTAGAAGAATGTGGACATTAGATCCTCTCATTTGTAATCCGGCTGAGTTGGCTGGGGATGATGTGTTGACATCCAAAACTCAATCCCACTTCAGTCCCTCTGAGAAGACTGAGCTGTTCAACTCCTGCTCTCAGGCAAACACCAGACTCCAGGAAATGTGGAGGATTTAAACAAAAGCTGTGATGAAAGAAAATTGTGAACATTCAGTCAATTATATATTTTTATAGAATATTCTCTTCTGTTTTATTACTGTTGTCCTGAATATGCCGTTTGTTGCACTGTTGATCTGATTGTGCGAGGGTCCTCTATTAACCGATGACAGCTGCGATTAATGTGGACCTATAAAATCTGTCCCAATTCTGTTTAATTTTTTTCCCCATTTTCTCAGTTTTTCTCATTTCTATATTTTGCAAGGAAGCCACAGGTTTTACAAAAAATGTTGAATAAAATTCCAACAGTAAAATGTCACTACTGTAATTCCCATTGATCAATTTTAACAAAACTGCAACCAACACTGTGTCTAATGAGCAGAATATCCTATACGTTTACCTGCAGCATACAATAATTATCTGCTCTACCATTTATTTTATTTAAATCACATGTTAATTACAATTGTCTAAAATACAATAAATTCCTCAGTAGATCGTCAAATGTATGCATTTTTTAATATTACTTTAAAACATTTTAATTTTAAAGGGACATTAGACCCCAAGTAAAAATGTGTCTATTTGCGTATTTCCCAGAGTTGGATAAGTGAGGAATAAAAGCATTTTGTAGCCAGTGCAGTAATTCTCCTGGTCTGGCAGCCGTCCATCTGCTTTAGCTTAGCATAAACAATGGAAGTGAATAGCAGGAACTAGCATTTTGTGTGCAAAAGTGATTAAAATTACTCAATAATGATATCAATTATGCCTGGTGAGCTCAATAATCATGTCGACTGCAAATGAAAAGTAAGAAGTAGAATAATAAACCCTAGAGTGAGTGTGTGGCACAACTCACATGCTGGAAATAAAACTGTTGAGAAAGGGACATTTTGTTGTGTGTGTGTGTGTGTGCGTGCGTGCGTGCGTGCGTGCGTGCGTGCGTGTGTGTGTGTGTGTGTGTGTGTGTGTGTGTGTGTGTGTGTGTGTGTGTGTGTGACCCCAACAGTAGCTGTGTATGCTACAAACATCTATGATAATTGTAGAAAACTGACTACTTTGCGGATTTTGCCTATTGCAGTTTATTTTAGGACATACCTCCCGCAATAAACGAAGGGCCACTGTAGTTCAAAGTTGGTGCCAAAGCTGCTTGAAACGAACGTCGTTCCTGAGCCAATGCCATCTTTGTACTTTCTCTTCATCGTAGCTCTGGTGCTTAACCCACCCAACAAGTATGGAGTTCTGTTGTTGGTAAGACGCAAAACATCTCTGGCCAATGGTAGACCTGCTGAGGCTACAATGCCGTGTGGCTAGACTTGTGGTTCTCAATTAGTGGGGCGCACCCCAGGAGGGCTTCACATCCTACATCCTAGGGTGGGGGCTTCACAGTAAATAAATGACAAGCACTGGGCTAGACCAACATGCATGTTGTCATGGTTGGTCCAGAATTCTAGGCTAATAAAAACCCTTAGCTAGGTTAGGAAAATCCATATCTGTTAGATTTCACTAATTCTGATTGTGTCTCTTTCTGTTTTACTACAGTTTTATTTCTCGTTTTACATGATTATATTTTATTACTTGCTTTGTTCTATATGATTATATTTTAGCACAGTTTTATTATTTAAATTATTATTTTACTGTCTATGATTTTATTTATTACTTATTTTCTAATTGTTGTCATTTATATTAGCTCTTTTATTACATTTTTACTCATTTTAATCCAGTGTTTCCTCTGTGGGGGCCCTCTGCCCCGGGAGCGGTGGTCGACTGTAGCTTCCTGGGCGCTCTATAGGTGGGGGTCTATGCTCCCCCTCCACTGAGCGCCCTGACTTAGTGTGGAAGACCTGATGCTGCCGGGGCAGATGGCTCCTCTGATGGCGTTTCCTTGCGTTACCTTACTTGGCTCATCTGGACTCAGCCTAATATAATTTTTACTCGTGTGTGTGTGTGAGTCTGTGTTTGTGTGCGTGTGATTGCATATGTTTGTTAATGTTTTTAACCTGTTATGGGAATCTGGGGTCATTTTGTAAAGCACTTTGAATAACACTTTGTTTGAAAAGCGCTTTAGAAATAAAATTTGATTGATTGATTGATTGATTATAGAAACCTCAGAGCCAAAGAAAAGCCCCCGCCCACTCATCATTTAAAAAAACACGTTTGGAACATAAATACATCAGATAAACTATCTTAAAATTAGGATTATTTGAAAAGTCATAAAACTAAATCTCGTCCACATCCAGAAAGTTAAATCATAGTAAGGCATCAGACCACTGGCAATATATTCAGTTTAGTGGATTTAAACTTAAAAACAAGCACCTTTTTGTTCAACAACAGCCCAACATGAAGTTTTCCAGCACTTCTCATAGCAGGGTGTCAGTCAGCACCACAGGGGGCTGGTGGCACACTGCGTCAGGGCGTGCCATCTGAGGCAAGAGGAAGGCTTTCACCACATGGACCACCTTTATTAGATTAGGCCTGGCCACCCTCAGCTTTGTAATTGCATTTGCCTGATGCTGTGTGTTTAAGAATAGAATAGCCTTCCCATCTTTCAGAGAGAGCAGACCAGAACAACTCACCGATGAGGAATGAAAAGACCCACTTTTCTCCTCCTGGAACTTTGCACTTACCTCCTAGGTGTCTTTAGCTGTGGTGGTTTCAATCCATTTTATGCCATTTTTTCATTTGCTGTTCTCTTAGTGAGGAAAAATAGTAACAAATGATGCTTTGAGCTGTGTCTCGCTGGAAGGGGGAAACAGACGGCTGGGGAACGGGGACTCATGCTTCGTATTTTTCATAGTTTAATGAAACTAAGTTTAGGAATGGACACTGCACCAAGACGGGGTGGGATTCTTGACAAGAGCGTCCCCCAATGAGTCCTGAGTAAACAGATGGTGTGTGGTTTAAATCAATGATCACACAAGTTTTCTGTTACATCGTGCATTCAATCCAATTTCATCAGATAAGTGAGAGAATAGGCAGTTTCGAAACTTTATTTTTCATGCAATCATTACTTAAGCGTATCTCACTGCTGTCCGCTTGAAGTCACAGATGGTCATGCATTTTTATTTAGCAGTGATTCCCCAAACACACACGTTAAAGCAGCACTTTGAGGCTTTAAAAGGCAACATTAAGGTCTTGTTTTTCTTTAATGAATGAGCATCATCCACCACTTTCCATGCCAGAGTTTCAGATTAAGATTATCTTAATCAGAAATGATGGAGTTACGGGTATTACGGTAAGATCTGGAAACTTAAATCGCCTCTGTAATGTTGTAAGAGTCTGCATGATTTATTAGCACAAGGTAATGAATGACTCACAGCTACTAACACAAGAAATTATAGCTTAATACCTGTATCATTATCGGATTTTTGGCCTTTTTTGTGTTTGCAAAGATTGACTAACTGTGGTGGCAATCCTCCAATGGATCGACTCCAAAATGTAATCAGCTGTAGATGTACATCCAATAATTACTTTCTGAGAGTTTCATTAAAATCCATTCTGTGGTTCATGAGACATTTTGCTAACAGACAGACGGGGTTAACTCACAAAGTTAACGGCCAAGTTTTAAATAAAGGTGTTTAGATACGTGAGACTTCAGTAAACTGCACACCAGGTTTTAGCTCAACATCTGTAAAATAGACTATACATGAGGGTTTATATGTTGTTAGTTAAGCCAACTGACAGGCTGAGGAAATAGATTTTTTTTTATATCTTCCTTGAGCAGTTTGAACCGTTTCTCATGCTTGTCTCCACGTTGCAGTACTAATTATCCTGTAACTGATGACAGCTCAGTGTTTTGTGTTTCTGTTCAAGTTTAAGTGTTTTTTGGGGGGGTCTTTCC